TTCTTGGGTTGGCATATAACTGTCATTCAGTTATGCACCTGCAGTAGTGCCTACTTGTCATGAAGCTACACTTCAGAGAGAATTTTTTAAAAACACCTTCTTCATTTAATGTAGTAAAGCCCTGAAAGCCTCCCCTCCCTTTTTTTAAAATTTTCCTCTACCCTTTGCTTCATGATAAATAGAGAAGTCCATTTGGGTGGAGAAGGGGATGTCCAGTTTCAACAATGCATGTATTTTCTATGTAATAATAGAAGTTATTCATCATTCCTTACACAGTGTGCTATAATTTACAGAGTACTTTCCCACCCATTATTGCATTTATCTCTTAAAACAACTTGTTAGATAGTCAGGGTTGATTAAAAATTATTCCCACTTTATAGATGAAACAATCTCCCCTCCCACCCCTACAGGAGGACAAGTGACTTGCCTAAAGTCCATGTTGCTAACTGGGGGCAGAGCAGAAGTAAAACCCAGTTGCCATACTAAAATCTGGTGTTTTTATGTTGAAACGGACAGAGGACATGCTGCCCCAGTTTGCACTTCTACTCCTGTAGAAAGGCAGCACAGAGGAGTCAGAAGACCTGAGCTTTGTTCCTATCTCTACAAACAATAAGTTTTGTTTGTCCAGAAAGTCATTTAACTGCTTCTTTATAAATGGGGAGAATTATCTTTGTCCTTCTTGCTTCAAAGACTTGCTATGAGAGTGAGATGAAATCAGTTTGTGAAAGTGCTTTGAAAACTGAGTAAATGTTTGATGGGAGGGATGCTGTTGTTCTGTGGAGAACTTGGTAAAGCCAAGACTATGGCCTTAGTTCCCTACTATTTTTATTTATTTATTTTTACAATTTTAACTGTAGTAAAAAAATGTATATATAACATGAAATCTACCCTTTTATCCCCTACTGTTATTTTCCAGGCAGAATTTTCAGAGCTCAACCTGGTGGCCCATGCAGATGGGACCTATGCTGTGGATATGCAGGTACTCCGGAACGGCACAAAGGTTGTCCGGTAAGGTTCCTTCTGTCCTCAGTGTCTTGGCCTTCAGAGTTATTGTCTCTGGTTTGCAAAGGTGGTTTCAAAGTCAAGTGTTGGAGCAGGATGGGATATATTGTACAGAAGTTAATGATGTGTGCTATGTAGAAGTGGTAGAGGAAGGCAGAGAAAACTAGCTACTGCTCTCAGAAAGTTCTTAATCCAATGGTAGAGAAAGAACTCAGGACTAATTCAGAGGTAATCAGATTCCTATCAGAGGGTTCTAGGATTCCAGCGCCACTTCCACCAGTGTGATTTTTGTGCTTTTATCTCTGTGTATATTTACCCTGGAAAATAGGATTCCATTGCTTTAAAAAAAGGTTTGAAAATTCTAGTTCAACCTATTTTACATTGATTTGCTTAGATTTACTCAGTGAGTCAGTAGAAGAGCCTTGTGTTTCTATGTGAATTCTCTTAACTCCCAGCCCTGTATTCTTTCTATATTCTTCAGTCCTGGGAATTCTGATAGGAAAGTCTAGGTTGGAAGGGACATTGTATATGGAAGAAAAATTTGTAGTTACAGGCACTTACATGCCGGGTGGTATGCTGGGTAACTTATAGATGTGATCAAGTTTAATACAACAGTTTTGTGAGGGAGATAATGAGAATTCCAGATGGGAAAAAATGGTTTCCACAGTGTCATTTTTCCCAGGGGCTCAGCATGGTATCAGGTTTTCAGATATCAGAATCTTGCTCCAGGAAGAATCTTCACTTCATCCTCTTCCCTACCTCAGTCTGCAGCATCCTGACACTGAGGTCTCCGATGTCCAACAGGGACTGGCTCAGTGACAGGGAAGGCAAAGTTCAGGTGTCTGGAACCTAGCAACAGGAAATGTAAACTCATCCATCCTAGAGATGAGGACAGAAAAAGAAATGTCCATCCAGGTGGGGAGTGAGCTCAAGAGAGAATGATGGGCCCCTACAACTGTAGATAGAATGAGTCATAGGGATATATGCATACAAGCAGGTGGTGACAGAAAGTTCCATAGCAGGGTGCCAGGAGGGATCTGGCAAAAATAAGGCAGGCCCTTCCAGTTATGAGTATAGGAACTTAAGACCTGGCCAGTGTAGGAAATCTAGGGCTCAGTTCCTAAAACTGCCATGTAAGATTTGACTTTGGCTAGTTTCCCAGAACTGGTGCACAAGGAGATCAGAACAGCTCCAGTATATACCATCCTGACTTGATGCTAAGTTACTTGAAGAGGGCATGGGCATGAGGTTTAAGGAGAGCTTCTTCCACCCCCACTTTAAAAGACCAATCTCTGAGCCCAGGTGGTACTGCAGCTGTACGTGGGGGGATGGATGGGTGCCTGAGCAAAGAACCAGGTAGGTATTTATATTGTGTGAAGCTGGCAAGCTCCAGAGCCTTGAGGGAGAATGCTGCCACAGAATGGACTCTCTGGGAAGGTGGCGTTCCCCTGGAGTAAGGGCATGAGCATGGAGCAGCTGAGGAGTTTTGCTGGCTAGAGGAGAAATGCAGGGAGCCTTCCCATGCATGGGGAACATTCTGTACTCCCAGTGCTTCCTGTAGCCATTGCTCAACCTCAGTTCTTCGAAAAATATTTGCACCCCTCCCTAGCGTACACTTTGGAAGAATAACATTGGAAAGTTTGGCATCTGTTCTCAGCCAGCCTGGACCCTTGCTCTCGTGGGGACCTGATGAGGGCATTGCCTATTTTAAGGAGCAGCTTTAAAGAGTCAGAATAGGATACTGAGATCAGGAATCTCCATAGCAGGGTGGTGAAGTCAGGCAATATGTCTTCATAGTCTACTGGGACCCTCTTGGAACATGAACTCTGAAGCCACAAGAAACTTCTGCTCTTTTATTGCCCCATAGGGACCACATAAATTCTTGTTCACTTAAGGTGTGAGGGTCTGAAAATGTTTCTTCCCTCCTGAGGGAATTTGTACCTTAGAAAAAGACAATGCTTAATCCAGAGGAATGAGAGCTTCAGACATCTGTTCCTTGAATCTCCTTTAAGAAGTGCCATAATACCTAACCGTCTAGGGCTTTGGAAATAGGAGGTAAGTTGGCATATGACCTGAGGTGCTGGTTGATGGGAAACTTGCCTCTACATTTTTACCAGGTCCTTCCGGCCAGACTTTGTGCTTATCCGGCAGCATGCATTTGGCATGGCAGAGAATGAGGACTTCCGCCACCTTATCATTGGTATGCAGTACGCAGGCCTCCCCAGCATCAACTCACTGGAATCAATTTACAACTTCTGTGACAAGCCATGGGTGGTGAGTGAGGTCCCCTTCCCCCCAGGTTAAAGGGTAGGATCCAGGTCCTGTATCTCCCAGTCCCCCAGGAGGCACCGCTGGTAATCAAGATGCACTAGGCACAGCTGAGAGGATGTGAGAGGAGCTTCAGATGGGACATGGGGTAGGGTGGGTGAAAAAACATTATCATGGGCTGAGGTATCTTTGCTGCAGAGTGGACCTTTGGCCTCACAACAAAGTCACACAAAGATTCTGTAAAGAAGTCCTTATAGGTCTGCAAGTGATGCCCTCAGTCATAAGATGCAAGAATAAAAATACCGTTTCTTGCCTCTGAATGGTCTATTAGAAAGGCCTGAGGCCAGTGGGGATCCAGCTCCTACAACTGCTGCTCCAGGCTGCCCTCTTAGAAGGAAACACCTGCTCCTAATCACATCCTCTTCCTCTTGTTTTTCAAAAATCACTTCAGCTATCACACTGGCTTGCCAAGGGTCACTGTAAAGTGCTCAGACCCCAAGCCTCTCCATCACCCAGGGAATTGGAGGGGGTGTTTTTTGTTTTTGTTTTTGTTTTTTAATTAGACGGACCCATTACCTCTGCTCTTGATCGCTTCCTCACACTTGAACTCACTGTTCCCTTAGAAGCCAGGGAGACCTGACAGTGTAAGACAAAGACCAAAGAATGAGGAGTCAGTGGGAGCTGCTATGGTTGAAGAAGGAGGGTTGGGTTCCTGATCACCACTTATTCAGCCTTTCTCTGTGGCCTGAGGCATCTAAGAATCCTAGAGTTTTGCAGAAACAGGCTAAAAGTGTTGTATGATTTGAATGTGTTACTAATCATGGAAGAGCATATTTGAGGCCTTTATCAAGTTTGTTTTCTAGGGATCTCCCTTTTCTCCCTAGTCATATAACCTTCCCTACTGCACATAGCCCTAGTCCTTTCCTTCCCCACCCTTTCAATACCTGCTAGAATTTGGCTCCCTCATAGCCAAATGAGCTGATTCTGCTATTGCTAGTTTTTTTCTTGTTAAGTAATCCTCTCTGTGCCTGGTTTCTTTGTCTGTAAACTAGGAATAATAGTAGTATCTGTCACCAGTTTGACAGTCTGGTTGTTATATTCTCCTAGTATTTAGGATCTCTTAAAGAAAATAGTCCCCTGCTTTATGTTCCAAAACCATGCCAGAGGCCAAGGTGGGAGGATTAGAGAGCCTATGCCTAAGGCTGTGCCCCTCCTGGGATCTGGGATCTGGTGAGGGTTCACATTCTCACCCATTCACAATCGCAGCACATTGCCTTTGGCATCACATGAGAACAGCAAGGCTCCCTGGCCAGACACCAAGTTTTCCCTTCATTTTCATTAAGCAGCTGCCCCATTAATGGCATTTTATATATTGTTCTCTGTTTGTTAATGGGAGTGAACAAATTTGGTGACTATAAAAGGAGGGTCCCTCTGAGAGGATGACTTTTGACCATATTTTCTTTATTTCTTTATTGTGGCTGCTTTTGGTGTGAGAGGGGGCCTCAGTAGGGTTGTCAAGGCTCTGCCTTGCATCATTGTGTCTCTGAGCACATCTACTGTTATAAATTGGTCAGGGTAGGCTATGCCCTGGGATTTTGGAAGCAGAAATAGCCCAATCAATGAAGGTAGCATTCCAGAGAAAGCAAGAATGCCACCATCCCATATGGCTGCAAATTTATCTAAAAATCCTATGACTCCATCTGGGTTTTTTAGAGGCAGAGACACAAGAGTTGAATTAAAGCATTTATTTTCAGGAGGGCTAAGGATAACATACTAAGCTCAGACTGATTCTGAAATCTCATTTCTTCAAGAAGTCTTTCCCGATTCACTGAAGAAGTGGTGGTAATGAACAATTATCTTCCTATTCATTGCCAACACCACCCCCAGCTCCAAAATCCATTCTTTTGTCTATGCATAAAGGAAATAACCCTTATCAGATATTACATTTGTTTAATTGGTAACTGTGTGCTTGTGACTTAATCTAAGTTTCCAAGGAGGCAGGGGTTAGATGCCAAGTCCAATACCTTGAGCTGACAGGGACTGCTGGAGATTAAAGTGGAGTGGAGTAGAGTAGGGTGAGCTCCCACAGACCTAACAACCCCCCCCCGGACCTAACTGGCTGCCATTTTAGTTTTGCTGTCCCAGGACTCTGGGATTTTGCCGTGGGCCTTCTTGGCATTGCTGTGGTGTCTGTGTAACTCTCCCACATGCTGGAAAGATGAGGCCCCACATGCCTCAGTGCCATGCCAGGACGTGGGCTGCAGCAGGACAGAGGTTGTCAGGCAGAGCTGGCATCCGCTTGCTGGCGATGCTGGAGAGCTATGGGAGCTCAGGCAGGTATCCAGAGGCAGGAATCTGGGCAGGCAGGACTTAAAGGTCAGATGGGGTGATGGGAAGAATCAGAGAAGGCAAGAAAAGTCTGAGGGGTTGGTCTTGACAATCAAAGCAAGTTGAAAACCAAAGAATGGCAAGGACAGCAGGGTAAAATGGAGAATGCAAGGAGCAGGAAGAGACCTACCTGGGTGCTGTCCTGCAGTCCCAATTCCAGGGGTGATCTAGGAACCTGTGCTCTCCTTTGCTTCTTTAGCTTAGCCTCACCTCCTCATGTGTAAAATGAGATGTTTGGTCTACAAGATCTAAAGTCTCTCTTTTTTTCTTTAATATTTTATTTATTTATTCATGAGAGACACAGAGAGAGGCAGAGACACAGGCAGAGGGAAAATCAGGCTCCCCACAAGGAGCCCGATGTGGAACTTGATCCTGGACCTTGAGATCACTCCCTGAGCCAAAGGCATGATGCTCAAAGGCTCAACTGCTGAGCCATCCAGGCATCCCTAAAGTCTCTTTCAATAACAAATCTTGAGGGTTTGAGAGTCCCTGAATCATACTTTCAGTTCTGGAGGAGGCCTTCAAGATCTACAGTCAATAGCCGTTCCACAAAGGGGAGTGACCCAGAAATTACAAGATTTTCCAGTATTTCAAAAATAAATTCTATCCTTGCCAACAAAGGACCACAATATATGATCACTTAAACTGCAGTTTGATAATGGAGTTTGGGGGGAAATATAATAAAATGGTGTTCCCTTATGGCAAAAAGTTTGAGGAACTGATTAAATTCACTCCTTTCATTTTATATATTAAAAAAAAATGAGAGGAGAAATCATTTGCCCAAAGGGCACCTAGCAAGTTCCAGGCAGAACAAGAACCAGAAGACTTCATTTTTAAAAATCCATTCTAAGTTTCTACTCCTCCCCCCATACCTTCTGTCCCCACTGGCTCATGTACCAACATCCCTTATAGAGAATAAGACCTGAGCTTTTGAAAAATATTCTAGCTTTCCTTTCTCTGGTAAATAGAAGGCAAGTCTGATCTGGCAACTTTTCCTTCTAGCAGTTCCAGATATCAGTGGTTAGAGTGTAAACTAACCTAAGTAGCACTAGAGGGAAGATGCTGGATTACCTCTGCTGCCAAGGCACTGGAGATAGGTGTTTGAGTGGGTGTATGTTTGAATGGATTGAGCAGAAAAGGCCTGTGTGTTTACTATGGGAAAAGCATGGTCTCTGCAGAGTCTGAAAGGCAGCCATGTGAAGAGTTACAGATCAAAAATAAAAGGGCCTGGCTATGAATACGGCTCAACTATTATGTGGCCTTGGACAAGTGATCTCTCTGGGCTTTGGTTTCTTCACTTATAAAATGTGGGGGCAAGGGACTTCAGGAGGTGCTAGATATTTGCCAAAGGGTTTTCAACCCTCACACTGTAAGTATGTGTACCTCACCTCTTCTTTGTAGAGTTGTTCTGGTTTCTCATAGGTGAAGGATCCAGTGAGTTCAGTTCTTAAATGAGTAGTAAGTCCTAGAGAGACTAGGTCTATCTATCCTGAATACCATGAGCATGAAAATCTTCCTAAAGAATAGCTTTATTCATGACCCCTGCTCCAATTCTTAGGACTTCAGACTGCCTGCAGAAAAAAAGCTATCATTCCTTTCCTGGCATTTGAACTTTCATGACTTGTCCCCATGTTACCTATTTAGCTTTATCAGTTGTCATCTCTAGAATGCAAGTGTTTAAGTTAGAGACCCAAATTTCAATCCCAGCTTCATCTCTTTGCAGCTCTGTGACTTTAGGCAACTTTTGTACTGTCTCTGAGCCTCATATGTAAAATAAAGATGATAAAATACCTAGTTCATCAATTTGATATGAGGAATGAATGAAATATCCTTAAAATCATATAGGTACTGAATGAATGTTAGTGCATTCTTTCTCCCTTCCCCAACTAATGCATATGTCTTTAAAAATAAGAATAGTATACCTCTTTTATATCCTCAGTGTACAAAGCCTCCAACATAGCAAACCCAATAAATATTTGTTTGATAGATTGATGTTTGTCTGTTGCATTTGTCCAGATAAGCTGAAATATTTGCTTCTCTTTTACAGTTTGCCCAGCTGGTGGCCATCTACAAGACATTGGGAGGAGAGAAGTTCCCACTCATTGAGCAGACATACTACCCCAACCATAAAGAGATGGTAGGAGATTGAGTGGGGACTTTAGTCCTCTGGTGTTTACATTCTGAGCTTGGTGATTATGGGGCTCTAAATGCCTCAGCATTTCAACCCCCCAAGACTCTGTTGGGGATTAACTGTGGACCTGCTTTGTGGGGCTAGAGCAGCTGAATTTTAAATGCCAACCTCTTGCTTCCCAAATCCGGAGACCCAATAGGGAAGAGCAGAAACAAAGGCATTTTATGAAGCTGAAAAAGTAAGAAATCTTTGGATCAACAATCAGAAGATCCTGCTATTTTGGGTTCTAGTCCTTGCCCTGCCACATGTCACTGGACTAGGTTAGAGTCCCTGTGTGTGAGTTTCCCAATAGGAAAGTTAAATGGGCATCATTATTTCTGACCAGGATATCTAATATGGTACTTATAAAATGTAAGTGAGATTAAGTAATAGTCTTCTGGAAAAGTGTGAAGCACTCCTCAGATGTAAGGTGTTGTTCCTGTTATTATTCACCAGGCCCTTCCATTCCTTTGGCTTCCTCAAGATTGAGATAAGACTGGGCTAACTAACACTGTGCCTTCTCTGAGGCCATGCTAGGATGTCAGAAGGGGCAGAGAGATGGCATGGTTGGTTGGTACAGGACTAAAGCTAATGTGTTTCCTTTAAGACAACTTTTAGCTCAACTGTCTTCTTCCTCTCTGTCCCTACATCCTCTGCCCCAGGCCTGCAAGGTCAGTTGGTGACCACTAGTTAAGTCAATTGCTTAACCCACCAATGGAGACTTTCTGCCATAACATTCTAGTATTGTACTGTGGGACAGTGATCATGTTTGTTGCCTTTCCCACTCCCTACTCCAAAAGGGATCTCCATTTGAACAATTTCTGTGAATCAAGAACCTTCATTTGGCATATGGAGATGGCACTGCTTATTAGCAAACCACACATAAAAAATGAATAGCAACCTTGGGCCTTGAAAAGAACTACCTCCTTCATCTTTGCCAGGAAGAGGCTCTAGAACTTTAAGACCTCATCCTTAATAAATCCTTGAGGTGAACATAAGGGCTTTTCCCTTTCAGGGCAAGCTAGAAGCCTTGCACAATCTAAGGAACCTTAAAGGATCTGTACTTGGAGTTCTCAGAGAATCTAACCCACAGTGATATGGGGACTGAACTGAAGGGTAGACAGGGAACAAAACTGGCTTTTTTTCCTGCCATAACGTCTAGCAGGGCTGACCACTGAAAACAGTTGCAACAGTTGCAAAACACATTCCCCATCTACCATCTTTTCCCCCAAGTGTCCTTGTGTTACTTTTCTCCTGTCCTCTATCCTGAAATTTGCCCTCAAGAGAGGACCTGCTAATGCTAAGATCTCTCTGAGGTGTCAAAATCTAAAGGGGAATTTCATCTTACAATAGAAAAGCTGTTTTTGGCTTAAAAAAATTCTGAATTAGGAATAAAACCATTAGTAATCTAGTAGAGAAGGGCTTTCTAAAAGAAACAGAAGAGAAGCTTTATGGATATCAGTGGAGGGCTTTAAGGATAGTTAACCTGCAGAGACGATACCTAAGTCTATTCTTGCCTAAAGAGGTATGCTAACTGGACTAGATCCTCTGCCAGGAATGGTATTGAGGGGATTATAGCATGTGGAGGGAGGTTAGGCCATTGCAGGTCTTATGTTGGGTGACTGTATCCCCCAAGAGTCTCCCTCAAACAGATAATAGTATATGAAAAGATTAGATTGAGTGGGGATATGAGTAGAGGACATACAGCCATAATGGGTTGTTCTTTTCATTCCCCCAGTTTGTTCTGATTCTGATTCTGTCAACCCACTTTCTGGTATTGTACATCACAAGGCTACATCATCTCATATGTATAATAATCATCATTTCTCCCCTATCAGATCAGTTAAGGTAAGAGAAAACACACTCTCCTAGGGAGAAAAGGGAATAGTTCTGGCCTAGAAAACAAACTAAGCCAGAATCAAAATTTTCAGTAACAGCTTTCAGCTCAACTAAAAGGGTTTGGGAGGCAGGAGAGATGGGCTGAAGGCTGGCTAGAAAAGTCATATTACTTTCCCTGGCCCTTGACAGGTGCTGGGCTGGCATTTGGATACAAGCTATAACATACTCCATCCCTATCCTAATTCTAGCCAAACTATCCATTGGTACTTTCCATTGGCTGGCAGTGATGAGGCAGGTGTTGACAGCCAGAGCTCCACAGGGAAGGAAAACTGGCTTGGGCTTCAGGATGGTTGAAGGGATGTGATGGTCACTGGCCCCTACTAGGGCTGGATGATGTCAACAAACTCCTTCCTGAGGAGCAGGCGGCCCTGGTACCAGCTGCAGGTGCCATCAACATGCTTCATGCAGACATAATGCTGGGCTTGGTACCCATAGAGCTTCCGTTCCAGCAGCCAGTCTGTCCAGAGGCACTCGTTGGGGGCTGAGATGGTACAAGGCACTGTATAGCAGGTGGTAATCTAGAGTCATAGCCACACAACATCAACATGAGTAGGGTGTTCTTTTTCCATTATTGCTTTTCAGACTCCTACATATGCTTATAACCCAGCTCAAATGCCCCTGACTTCTGAAGCCTTTCCTAGTCCCCAAATTTCCTCCTGAGTTCCCCTTCCCCAATTTCCTAACACACAGTATTGCCTCTCTAATGGTATCTTTGGAGTCAGACAGGCCTCAGGGTTCTTAGTCTACCACTGACCTTGAGCAAATCGCTTCACTTCCTATAGCATTAATTTCTTTGCCTTAAAATGGAAATCTGAACTCTTCATAAATTTGTTATAAAGACTAAATTAAATATTTTAAATAGATAGACATTACAGGGCCTGGCAAAAAGTAGACTCTCTTTAAATGGTAGCTATATTATCTCATTCTTTATATGATGGCCACCTTCCCAGCCAAAATGTAAGTACTTTGGGATCATGGGCTATGGACCATTTTGCTTCCCCATCCCCAACTTCATACAGAGCTTGGTCCATGTATTTGGTTCAAATACAGTACAATACATGAGTAAACACATGCACAAAGGAAGGAATACATGAAAAGTGAGGCTGCAAGGCTCAAGACCCTTCCCTCACCCCCCAAAGACCTTGCCAATGGACATTCCCTTACTTGGCAGCCACAGTTCAGATGGTAGTGATGATTCAGACTTTCTCTCTGCAAAAAGGACAGGTTCTCCCAAGGTTCGATGTAGTTGCACAGGTGGATGAAGACTTTTCCATCACTGAGGACCTGACCTTCAAGGGGAATGGAGGAGAACCTAGCATGAGGAATCTGCTCGTGGACCTCCAGGAACCCAGGTCCTCAAAGAGCCCAGAATTGCCGCTTCTTCAATGGCTTCTTGGTGGCATGAAGCTCAATTAAAGAACCAGAAAAAACTCTGTAATTTACATATTAAAGATGTTAACAGATTATGTTCATATGAGAGAGAGAGTTGTAGGATGAAGGCCTTTAGTGTGGTGCAGAGAGCTTTAAAGTCAGACTGTTGGTACAACCCCTTTCTTTTCTCTCATTTACAGCTGTATGACCTTCAGAAAGTCACATGACTTCTCAGCTCAAAGATGAAAGTAGTAAGTTGTTGTCAGGATGAAATGAGAGAATGTAAAGTTCCCAGCACAGCTTGGGCCCACAGAAGCTTCCATAAATAATAGGTCCCTTCCTCTTTCCAACCCTTCCCAACATCTACACAGCCTAGTCTCCTGCCTTGTCGATACCTATCCTGGTGAGTCTCTCCCCTTCCCCACAGAAAAGCACGCCTTCTTTACTTATCAAACCCTTTCCTAGCTTCCAAAGACCCTTTTGAGTACCACAGTGTCCTCAAAGCCATCTGTGACCACCCTAGCCCATATCCCTCTTAGAACTTCTGTCACTCATTTATTCACTGAGCAGCTGCTATGACTTGGTCCCAGAAATACATATGACGGAATCTCTTTCCAAAGGAGCTTAATAAACAGTAGGGCAGATAGATAAGTAGATAAAAATTATCCAAAAAAAAAAATTATCCTGTTCTATAAGAATGAACAAAGCACAATTATCTCTATCTGTGGAAGGGGTGAGGGGCAAGAAAGGTGTCTCAGAGGAGATGATGCTTGCATTTGGCCTTGAATGGGTGGGTAGGAGTTCACCTACCAGACAAATGAGGGAAAGGAATTCTGGACATTGGGACTGCCCTGTGCAGGGTGGAGGGGCACAACCCAGCAGAACACCTTCTGCAACTACAAGTAGTTTATTTCAGCTCTGGGGGAAATGAGGGGCTGGGAACTGTCAATCTCACATGGCTGGAGACAAAGCTGGAGAGGTCAGCAGTGTTCTGGTCACAAGGACTTTCAACATTGGACAAAAGAGCTTGTGCCTTCTTCTGAAGAGCATGGGCCACTGATGACTTTTCAGAGGACTTGTATTTTGTCATTTATCCCCACCCATCAGTGAGCCTTGACACTGAGGACAAAGAACATGTCTTCTCCTCCCCCGAATGCACCACAGTGCCTGGCAGAGAGCTAGCACACAGAGGGAATGAAGTAAGTTTGTCTATTAATCCTGGGACCTGGAGGCCTCAGTGGCATGCCCTTGCCTCTGTCTCTCTCATCCAGAGGCTCCCAGGTCAACACAATTCCACATCCTTAGATCTGGGGAGCCTCTACCAGTGTAGCTTCTAATGGCTATCACTTCTCAAGAGCCAAGCCTGGACTGTGAACTCTTTGAGGACTGTGGCTTGTCTTTAAGTCTCTACACTCCTGCCCAAGGCCTGGCAGTGAGTGGGTGGTCGTTATTGCTGAATGGATGGACAGATAGTGGAAATTCCTCCTGTTCTCCTCACCTGCTGTGTTTTTCTTTTTGTTGCCTTCTTTCCAAATATTTTTCTTCTTTTAGGGGCAATTTAGGTCCCATTTACACAGTGAAGTTTTCCTTATTGTTTACAACCACACAGATACCTCTTTTCCCTAAACTATAAAATAATTTAGTATTGTGTTCATTCACTCACAGAGTCATATTCTTGTGTGGTTTCTTAACTACTCTGTCCCAACCAGTTGAGTATGGAGACCTGCCTGGGCCCAGGTTCATAGAGATTTGTTAGAATTGTTAGATTCAAGGCTTCTGTTAAAGACCGTGCTTTACTGTACCCCAGAATATGGCCTTTAATGTGAGTTAGCCAATGAGGCTATGAGCCAAGATCGTGACCCAACATAGCAACCTAAAGTTAATGCCATTATAGACTATAGTAACTATAGTATATGTGTTGTGGGGCAAGGTTGCACATGCACAATCCTTGTTTGTTCTGTGAAACCAAGGTATCACCTATAGTATACAGTGTCCAGTTTGGGGTCCTGTGTGAGGGGAGGGACAGGGACAGTCTTTATCCCATTTTGAGAAAGTGGCCAGGATAGGAAGGGGTCTGGGAACCATGACCAGCAGGCCTAGAGCTAGAATGCATGTATTTATGGTCCTCAGGCCTGTGAGGGATTATCATAGGCAGAGGGCAGAACTGAATTCACAAGGGGCAGTTTCAGAGTGGCAGATTTTTGGCTCAAGATATCAAACTTAACATCAATTAAAATTGTTTAAAAATGGAACCAGCTTCCCTAGGCTGGGAGAGCAGCTTGTCCTTAAAACAGTGAAGCAGTGGCCAAGATCACTGTAATAAAAACTCTTCATTGAAAGAAAGGTTACCACAGCTTCTCCCAACTCAGAGGCTGCCTCTTAGTAATACAACTCTGTTTTATGCCCAAGAAAATGCCACCTAGCTCAGCTTGCTGCCCAAGGAGCCCTGGCTCCTTCTTGACTGCCTTGCTTAGGACAGAGACTATTAGGGCCACTTGTTGGTCTTTAACTTACCAGTCAAGAGATATTGCTTCTGGCTGTTAGCTTCTAGTTTCACACCACAGAGGGAGGAATCAAAAGGTGTATAGATATACTGAACATCCTTGACTTTCTCAAACCCTTTAAACATCTGAAAGGCAATTACAAAAAACAATATTTAGTCAGTGAGTATACTTTTTATCTTAACAGGAAAAACTCACTTCTCAATCTAAAAAAAAAATTTAAACAAAAGTCTAGTTCAGGATTTGGCACACACAGATGGCCCATCTGGATCATTTCTCTCTTATGAAAAATCTAAACTTTGGTTTATTCCAGTGAGAATACCTCTAGTAGCCTCACGCATAGGCAGCTGTAGGACTAGATGGACCCCTAAGGGCCTGTGGGGCCTCCTCCCTGCCACTTCAGCATCAATACCCCAGGATCAATGAGCCAGGTTGCCTGACCTACCAGCCCCACTCCCAATACACAGACCCCACTCCTCCCAATAGCCCGAGGGGGTTAATACCCTGTCCTGTCCCCATGTACCTTTATCTGTTTGATTTCATACCGGATCATTTTTTGAGTGTCAGTAGGATCTGGACTGGCAGGAACTACCTTCTCACTGGATATTTTGGCCCTTATGGCTGCATAAGAAGAGAAAAGAGGGGAACTTCAGCAACCTGTTGGAACAGTTCCATCTGGCATCTGGATGACCTGAGCCCCCTGAAGAATTTTATGAGGGAATTCTGGGTTTAGGTCTTATTGGATTGTACGGAGGACCATGTATATGAGTGGGGACCTGTAAACTCCTCCTCTGCAGCTGCTAGAAGTTCTAAACCCCTCAGGCCTATTAGGTCTCTTTAGAATATACTTTATATTAAAGTATAATCTCTATACTTTACCTGCATAGCCTAGATTGCAGTGGGTTGGAGGTGGGCATCAGGATAGAAGAAGGAAGAGGAGCCCCTTGAGAATAGTCAGTTTGCAGTCATCTACTTACATAGTCTGAGGCCTCAACAGAGCCCACCCAGACCTGATGTTGGTAAATGTTTATTGAATTAATAAATATGTTCTGACCCTGCACAGAGGTAGTTTATCTCTCGCCATTTGGGCATTAATCAAAAACTGGTTATAAAATTCTTCTCTGTGCCTGGTCTAACACTAGGTAATAGTAGTCCATACATATGGTTAGGACAGGGTCTCCCATCCTGCAGAACTCTTGGTCTAGTAGAGAATACATTTACAAAGAATAACAGCACAGTATACTGGCAGTACAAAAATGTTAGGGATACTGTGGTAACACCAAGGAGTCAGGAAGTCTTCAGAGAAGAGATACCTAAATAAGACCTTGATGGATGAATAGAAGTCTGCCAGGAATTTAAAGATATGGGCATTCCAGGCAAAGGAAAGGGAAAGGGCAAAGGTGTGTGTATGTTGGGGTGGGGGGTGCATGGAGTAAACATCAGTTATAGGCTTGGTCACAGTGGGATGTTTATAATGAATGCCCAGTCCCCTGGCCCCTCTTTCCCCCTCCCCGCATCCAGTAGTTCAGAATAATCACTGGATAGCTCCTGTGACTTGTTCAGTGACACTCCATAATTGCAGTAGGCAGGGGGCAGGGGTTCATTAAGGGGGTCCCTTACAGTTTCATTTCCTTGCAAATCAGCCAGGCTCTGAGCTTGCAAGGTTGCTATGGCGCCGGCCCTGCCCAACCATCAGCCCCAGTAGGAGGCAACTGGTGCAGTATTTGATCTCCTCCCTTTTCCTTCAGACTCCAGGTCTACAGCTCAGCCCCAGACCAACCCCACACAACCACCCCCTGCTGTGGACCTCTTGGGCCTCCGGACTCACCAAGCGCGGAGTGGCAGACGTGCTGCTGGGGGTGCGCAGGGGCGCAGCTGCACGCCTCACCCATCCCCGGCGGCCGCAGCAGTGCCAGCAGCCGCAGCAACAGCGCCCAGCTCGGCGCGGTCCGGGGGCCCCGGGGCATGACACCGCAAAGCCCCGACTGAGCCTGTGAGGACTGTCAGACCAAACAGACACTCCAGGGCGCATCCAGAAGCGTCGCGCCCCCCACCCCAGGCTTTTTGAGGTGGACCTAGGAGCAGTCCCGCCCGGATGGGCTCCTCCCTCCTTTGGCAGTAAGCCAACCACGGCTGCAGGACCCACAGCTCTCCTGACTGGCAGGCTCAGTAAAATGAAGAGGGAAGCCAGGAGAGAGGCCTCTGGCCTCTATTACCCTGCCTGAGCAATTAAGCCTTATAGAAGTAGAGGGAAAGCACGGAGAAAGGATGGTGTCAAGGCAGAAAGACAGAAAGTGAAACAAAGACAAATGCACGAGGGCAGAAAGACCCAGGGCTTGTGATTCACTCTGAAGGAACAAGAGTGAGGAGAGGCACAAACAGAAAGTGAGACAGGCAGAGTCAGAGAGAGGCAGACAGAATTACAACAGGCAAAAGAGACAGTGACAGAGAGGACGGACCTCTTGCTGAGCTGCACACTGGGAATGAGACAAGCTACTCAGGGCTTCTTTCAGCTGCAGGAAGTGTTTTCAATGCCCTATTTATGAGGCTCCAAAGCAACAGCAAACAGTAATGGAATAGGACAGAGAAAGTTGGGGTGTGTGTGTGTCTTGGCGCTGTTGGCTGGGGGGTGGGGAGAGATGTCAGAGAAAGCAGCCTGTGCTTTAGAAACCCTTTCCCATATCCAGAGCCTCAGACTCTGCTGATGGCTGAGGACCGAGCTCCTTGCGGGGGTTATCCCATCACCTAAAGCAAACCTGGGACTTCAAAGCCCTCTTCAGACCCTAGGCTACACTGATTCTTGTCTCGTGTCATTATTCGCTGGAGAAGACTGAGTCTTGTCAAAGAACCAAGGCTCATGGGGTCACTGCAACCAGAGCCTTGTCTGCTCTGTTTGACAGAGCATAGGGCTCCAAGTCTCCAAAGGAAAAGAGACCCAGGAGATTATTGTAGGATATTCCCACACAGTGCTGAACTAGAAGGTGGAAGGCTAGGTTCCGATTCTGTCACAAGGTAGCTTTGCAACCTTTGTCTCTCTGGCAACCTCTACCTCACTTTCTTCCCCATTATATAGGCTTGAACTACATGTTTCCAAAGCCCTTTGAAGCTCTTTGCCCCAGCTTCAACTAGTCTCAGCCAGAAATACTGAAATCCTCAGGTTGGGTGTTCCCAGTATCTGTCCACACCCAGAATTCCCATAGGAATCTGACTTTTTATCAGAGTTAACTTTAAGTTTTTCAAAAGATATCTTCCCATTTTGGTGTGGTAGTGATGTTTGAAAAGAAAAGAATTGAAAGAGAGCTGAGTCTGATTGAGAAGGATGAGATTTGGGGACCAGGTTGATTCCTCATATAACACTCGAACCAAGATAGAGCCTGATGTATTGGAAGCATGGGAAAAGGCATCCAGTCCAACCTCTTTGTTTGGCAAATGTGAAGACAAAGTGACTTGTGAGGGAAAGTGACTTGCAGAAAGTTAATGGCAGAGAGGACTAGAGTGCAAATATCCTGACATATGGTGTAGTGCTTCTTCCACTCCACCCTAGTACTTCCTCCATCACCACTTTGTAACCACTTGAAATCCTGCCTTTGGAGGATAGTTCTCCTTTTAGGTTTCTATTGTCCTTCTGTTAAAGTATGACTATCCCAAAATAGAGTTTACACTCTTAAGGATGTCTTTCAAATTATAAGCATGCTGAATTCTTAAGTCATCTCTCCCAAACCCCAAACTGGGCAGAAAGAGGCCTTAGCATCCTAATGCTGTGTTTGGTGGTGAGTTTGGAGTGTTGGTGAACAGTGAAGACACTGAAAGGAAGGGAAAAGGCCAGGTTCAGAATAGGAAGCTGGACATTTGAAGGGGAAGGGGAGGGTACTAAAAGGTATAAGACAAAGGGACATTAAGATTCCAGGATATATTTCTTTTTAAATTCAGGTTTACTAAGATACAATTTATATACAACAGGATTCACCCTTTCAAAGATGCTTTTTTTTTTTCTAAATTCGCTTTGGTTAAGGACTGATCCTGCCCAGGGTTTGTCTAATGCAGAGATTGAAGCAATGAATTTTGAAGATGTAGAGTACTGAGTGGCAGAACAGGGTTCTTACAGTTCTGCTACTAGTATGCTATGACTTTAGGCAGGTCACTGTCACTCTACGGACCTCAGTTATTTAATTTGTAAACCAAGTAAGTTGGTCTAGTTGTTTAAAGGACCCTTCCAAAGGTGTTACCAAGAAAAATACTTGTAAGATTCCACAGAGATGAGGCACAGTCTGACCAGTTCATTCCTTCCTCCTCTGCTTTCAGCTGACACTGCCCACATTCCCTGTGGTGGTGAAGATTGGCCATGCTCACTCAGGCATGGGCAAGGTAAGGCCGTGGTAAGGGCTTGCTATGCTTTGGGGTTGAGGCCAAGAAGGGCACTTTTCAGAGAGCCTTATTATGCCTCCTTTCCCCATGAATTCTTTCTAAGGAATGATTTGGCCTCTCTGAAGCCATGAGTGTTACCCAAACAGACCTCTTCCAACAAGCAGAGTACAGGCCACTCACCTGGGCTCTTGGGCCCTTTATAGCAAGTGTGGCTCCTGAGTTCTAGGAGGGGAAACTAGAGAGGAAGGGTGTCCTAGGGAGATGTGACATCTAGGTTTACATACAGATCGACAACATCGTGGTGGGTTTAGAGGCTCAGAGTTCTTATGACTCTCAGTGTATGTATTGGTATGTCTCTTTTTCTTCCTCTCTGCCTTGCTCCAACATTAGGTCAAAGTGGAAAACCACTACGACTTCCAGGACATTGCTAGTGTGGTGGCTCTCACCCAGACGTATGCCACAGCAGAGCCTTTTATTGACGCCAAGTATGACATCCGGGTCCAGAAGATAGGCAACAACTACAAGGCTTATATGTGAGTGGGGCTGGGGACCCAGCAGATACTCTTCACTTTCTCCTCAGCCCAGTGGAATATCTGAGCCTCCAGGTAGCAGCCAACTCTCAGTTTTGCCTCACCTGGACCAAAAGGCAGAGACCAGAGAGAGGGTGCCATTCAAGTCAGGGAATCCTAGCGTGAGTTCCTTTCTAGTCAGAGGAGGTCACATTAACTAAGATGAGAAATAAAATGAATATTTATTTTATTCATTTATTTCATTATTCATTTATTCACTAGCCTCTAAATGAAATTTGACATCCCTTCGGTTATAAACCACAATAGGCTATTGTAGTAACAACAGCACAAGTGCCTTTGTTACTAAAGGTAATCACAGAGATTTTTGATTCACTTTACAGTTACGCCAGGTATCTTTAAATACCAGTTATTTTTATCACTACTCAGGAATCATGGTAGTTACTAGAACTGTCACTGCATTTGTACCTGAAAATACTTTTGTTATTTACAAAGAAATATATTGTTCTACTAATTGCAGATTTGTTTAATATTTTGATAATTATTTTAAATAACTGGGTTTCTTTGTTATCTTATGTACTTTATTTTATACACTTACATATCTTATATATTTTTATATATTGAAAGGAATCCATAAGCTTCACCAGGCTGCCAGAACTCAGAAAAGGTTAAGGAACTCCTAAATGAAAATATATAGCCCTGGAAACACTCCACAGCATTAAAAGCCTAGTAGTTATGAGAATAGATGACTTCTCCACCTAACTATGTCCATTTGCCAGAATGGAAAGTTAAGTTTCCTCCATTCGAATTTAGAGAAAGAAAAGATTTAAAGATGACCCAATCTTCTATAATATACATAAGAATGCAAATAGCTTACAATTCCAATTTTGGAAATGTGAGCCTCTCACTTTGTAAAACCTATAGGGTAGTATTTCCTTTACAAATGAAGAACATTCTAACATACAAATTTGTTTTTGGCCGCTCAGCACTTAAGCAGACTTTAAGCCTAAACAGCTTCCCTTTCCCTTGTCCATCTATTTCCATTGTTCTTGTCTCCCCTGGTTAGTGTTTGTACTAAATCCCACCCCTGGAATTAGTTAGGAGCCATGCCCCTCCCTCCCTTGTCATAACTCTGCACACACCTCTCTTTTCGCCCTTTGCACACATGGGAATTTCTATTATCCTTTAAAGAGCTCCCTGGGCAGGAACAGTGAAATCATCTCTGCAGCCCCATCAACTTGTGCAGCAGCAGGCACAGAGGAGGCACCCAATAAGTATTCAGGGAAGAGCCCTTGTACAGAACTGAAGCATAGAATCTTTTTTACTTTTTTTTTTTTTACTATATTGCTACTTTTTAAAAGTTTATAATTTTTTTATTTAAAGTCTTGCTGCTTCAAAAAGGAATTTAGGATTGTTTTAAAAGTGTACACGATATAAAAAAAGTGTACACGATATAAGATAATTTAAAAGACCATTGTAAAAAAAAATAAAAATAAATAAAAGACCATTGTAAAAAGTAGCTAAAAGAAGCAGAAAAATCAGTATGTGTAGGCACCTAGGAAAGCAGATTTCCTACCCTTTACTTTTACAATCCCCTAAATTAAAAAATACAACAAAATAACAAAGTAAAATCTCCTAAATAAACACAAAATGCTTATGACAGTGGAGCAAAAGTGTCTTGATCCTTAAAACAAGACACCTCATTTTTAAAGGCTAGGATTTCCAAAAGCAATTTCAAAGAAGCATAAGAAAAGAGAATCCTCTATTAATGATGAAAGGTGAGCAGCCAAAGAAGCTTTAGAAAACATTTACTTACTTTTTAATTTGCAAAGGACACTTATTTAGGGGAATATTCAGCTCCTCTTGGCTCCTCTTTCCCAATCATCTATCTGCTCCCTTGCTTTCAGAAAGAATTGACCTGACAATAGCCAAGATAAAATTTGAGAGTCTTCCCTACTCCCTTAGCTCTCACCATGGAGATCCAGAGACAGCCATGTTTGGTGGGAAGAGGGTACTGTTACCACTCTGCTTTCAGTAGGCCATAATGTGCCTCTCTCTGTGGATGTCAGATGACCTACAAGTCCTGAGAGGTAGTTGAGCTGTTACTGAGTGGCTTTGGGGTGTCCCTGATGCTCTCCCATGCAACCTAGA